TGAGGACCTGATTCTTAACCCACCTGAAAGTGCATATATGTATATATTTACAACTGACTGACTACCATCTTTATCTAAGGGAAGGGTCACAGATGACAACATTCACACTATACACATTTTTCTACAGCCTTCGAATTTTCCAGAAACCAAAAGAGAAACCAGGGCATGTGCCCCTTGACTCAGTTACATACAACCGACCCTGCTCACTCCTCAGACCTGGTAGTCCAGAACCTGGCCCTGTCACCACGGAGGTGGGGAATGTAAAAGTCGAGCCAGAAGCATTTCTTCTAAAAGGCAGACTGCTGACAAGAGCCCCCGTATGGGCTGTGGGACTAGAGAAGGCCACTTGGAACCCATTCCAGCCCTGTCCGTGGCGAGATGAGGCACTGACCCTCTGGTTCTGGCTTAATTAACAACTACGTCATCTGCTCGAGGCTCCTTGTCAGAAGGAAGGACAGACACAGGTAATGGTTCTCCAAGGTATGGGGCCTCTGTCCAACACACACAGACATCTGCGCCAGATTTGTCCAGAAAGCTCCCTGCTTTGGGTTCTTTAAAGAGGCCAAGACTAAGAACTAAAGAGCTCAAGCCCAGAGCTATGTAGGTAGAGTACCCAGTCAGGTGACAGGAGACATGTCTGATTTGGTCTCCTGGTAGGAAGCCTGAGGAATGATCAACTCCGTCTCAGACTGTCAGTCATTCCCTGCACTCTCTGTTCCACACTGCTAGACTAGAATCAGCTCCGTCCACAGGTCAAGCTTTGAGGAATACACAGCAGCCCCAGTTCCACAGAAGCACACATGGCCAGCTCAGAAACAGCAGCCAGGAAACAACCGCAGGCACCGGGATCAACACACAGAGACTAGGAGATCACTTGGATATTGCACATTGGCGGCCCCTTATTAGTTTCTTAACCTTGTAGCTAGTTAATACTCAAAATGAAGGGAACACGGGTCTATAAAATACAGAACACATTCCTGGAAATTTGTATTTTGTCACTAAAAACACAGGAGCTCTACAGGCACAGCCAGCTTACTCACACAAACTCAAACTGCACCAGATGGGAGCGGATGGGGAAAAAGATGGATGTCTTCAACTTCAACAGATGGAACTATGAAAAGTAGACCTTGAGAAATCTCTTAGAAGTGCTATCTATTTACCCTAGTCATGCAGGGAGGAAGTAAAACACAGGTCACTGAAGATCCCAAGCACTCGTGGAGGTGAGTGGGAGGAGGGGAGTCTGAGCCTGGGGGAGGAGGAGAGAGGAGGAGAGAAGCCTGGCTGCCCTTATGGTGGCTGTTTTCCCCCATCCGCCCCAGTGCTCAGACCTCACCCCTCACTGTGTGCCGCTGTAAGACACTGTCAACCCACCCAGAAGACGGTCACACTGGACTCGAGAGGCACAATTCTTTTGTACACTGTTGACAAACAGCCCTGGAACCACAAGTTATACACAGAAGACGTAAAAAGCGTTACAAGCACAAACAGCGACAGGTGAGCTACCAGACAAGCTGACACTGCATAGGAGAAACAGTCCAGTCAGCACTGAGGGGACACAGCCGCGGACCGGCCGGGCGGTCTGCCGCTCCCCTCCCCGCCTTCCTTTCTTTTCTCTTCTTTTTGTTTTTGGCTTAAATTTTCTGCTTTGAAAAATGAGCTACTGATCACTTTAAGAAGCTTGGACTTGTTTTGGACCTACTGCAATGCCATTACAGTCGAGAATATACTGTAAACAACCTTGGGGGGGTGGCCGCTGAGGTGGGGTCTTGCTGGAGTCCGGTTCCTTAAGTGTTCCACTCTGGAAGACAAAAACAAAAAAAAGCCGCAAGAGATAAAAAACAAAGTTCCAAGCAAACGCCAGAGAGAAGTGCAGCGGCCAGGCTGCGCCGGGGCCCTGGGATCTGCTCAGAAAGTCCTGACGTTCGGACCTCCAGACCTCCTAGGACCCTCAGCCTCTGGACTGTGGCTGGTTGGGGAGTGTACAGTGTGGGGCTTGGAACTGCTGACAGAAGTCTAAGACATCCTCAAGCCCCTTTAATTCCTTACTGTAGACTTACTCTATTTAGAACTTCAAGTTTGTTCCCACACCACACGGCCTGACATCCAGGTTCACTTTGTATTTACAGGCCCAGCATCTGATAGGAAAGCTGCTGGGCTGTACATGGCTCTGGGGGAGGGTAGGTAATAGGGACTGGGGGAGGGTGGGGTAGGTGTGTGAGCTTAGATGCGGCTCCTTTCTGATCAGCATGAACTGTAGGATGGGTTCAGTTGGAGGGGGGGTGGCTAACTAGGGGTCTGACCACTCTTGGGGAGAGGCTGCACCACCTGAGGGAGCGGGCCCTGAAGGAGGAACCGCTGTTTGCTTCTCAGAACCTTCTTACCCAGGAGGAAGGGTAGGATGCTAACACTGGTAAAGTGCTCAAGGCCAAGTTGTTTTGCTGCCTCGAACTGCAGAATCATAGTCTGCCCAGCGACGTGGCTCTGCTCCCACGCTTCCTCTCCTCCCAGCTGGGATTCTGATTATGTCCTGACAGGACCAAAGATGCACGTGACGTGGTTTGTCTCACACTTGTGTTTCAGGCACGTTTGGAGCTTGTCTTCGGTGCACCGGAAACATTCTCTAAAGCCAAGGTGTGCCAAGTGGGCCGATGGTGATGTCAGAGCGCACCTCCCCACCCAGGGCTGGGAAGTGGGCTAAACGTGCCTGCGCGCTGTCTCTCACTCCCCTCTCCCGGCCCCTCACCGTGGCTGGAGATAATCTTCCCACACCAGCGCCCTTTCTCCCCCTGCTTCCCACTTCCCTGGGCTTGAGTCCGGCCATTTCTCTCCTCCAGCTTCCCATGGCCAGTTCCTAGCTCCTACCCTAGAGGTGCAAGTGTTCCCTTCCCAGGATCTCAGTCTCCTGACAATGACACCACCTCCAGCTGTAGAGGACTTTATACAGTAACGGGCATGACCTCTGACCTGTCCTGGGTGCCTCTCAGCAGGGAAGCCCGTCTTACCTGTCGACCACCTTCAGCACCGCCACAGAAACCAGCCTTTCCAGCCCCTTCTTCCAAGCACTCTCACTGGGTGTAGGAGGCCTGTTCTGAGCCCTGACACGAGTGTGTGTGCGTGCATGCACACACACACACACACACACACACACACACACACACACACACACACACTAAGCCAGCTGGTGGCCACCCAACCCATTCACCCACCAGAGCTCCTGGCTTCTTCCCTCCAGCACTGTCTTCCATTTACCACCTTTGGTCACGCAGTTACCAGTTTTTGCTCACACAATAGTTTCCCAATCCTTTCAACTCGTCTGATCTTTCTTCTTCGTGGCCACTGTTACCCTCCTAACACCTCTCACCAGTTGTGCCACTTCGTTTCTCTAGTTCTGAAATTTCTCGGGTGTTTGCTGGGTGCCGGGTAAACGGGCCCTCTATGTGGTTTCTCTCCCCTAACGACGGCTGTATGTGGTGGATACCGCTTTATCAACACCCCCAGTTGCTTCAGCTCTGTTGGAATCAACCTTTCTAGCCTTCAGTTCCCTACATGTCCTAAAAGCACCGGTGCCTTCTGGTCCAAACCTTATTGTCCAGTCTTTTTCTAGGCCACATGTCCAGTGTCATGGCCTCGCCTTATCCAAGACAGATTCTCAGGCATAGGGCAGCACAAGTCCAATTTATGGAGCTTCTAGACTGTTCTTGCCAGCTTTCTCCCTCAGGCCTCACAGGAGGCACTCACCATGCAGGCTGATCCTGGCTCTCTGCAGCCACAGAAATATACATGTGAGACATTCAAGGATATAATGAAACCCAAAGTGCCCTTCCCAAAGCTCTGGGAGAAGAGGCCCCAGAGGCCATCCTGTGGGCTAGAGCCTGGGAACGTGCCTTGGCTACCCTTGATGGCGCCTAAAGAGCTTCTCCTGTCCCTGGTTCCACTGAGGTTGTGGACTGAAGACTTCTCAGGGGCTGAGGGAGGCCAGGAGGAGAGTCCCTTAGGACTGTCCCTTGCCAGGCTGAGACACTCTGACTCCTCCCACAAGCCTGCTGTCTGCTAGAAGCTGAGGGCTTATTCCCTATGGAGTTTGGCTACCACGGGATCTGTCTCCAGTCACCAAGAGCCTCCTGGGATGCTGAATTCCACAGAAGTCTGGCCACTCTGGCGTCACTGCCAAAATTTGGCCCATAGCCAGCCCAAGACAGGAACTTATGGTCAGCCTGAGCGGCCCGGGTGCTCTCAGGAAGCGGGTTGACTCAAACAGGTAAGAATGCTTAGTGCAGCTCCTGTGACCAGTACATAGAAAGGAGGGAGCCGAAGGAGCCCCATGATACCCTGGACTTGAGGGGTGACTGCTAGAGGGTGTCAGTGTGGTGCCACTGCCCAGACTGATGTGGCTGAAGGTGCATTTGTGTCTTAGAAAGGGAGAGAAGCAGATCCATTGCCTTCTGGCTTGGTCAAGCCTCATCGGAAGGCACCGTCACCACTTTGGGCACCTCTTTAAAGGGGTGCATTGGCGGAGTCTGTGAAGAGATAAGGGCTTGAGAGACTGGAAACAACTTTGCTTGTGTGACTTTTGACAAGATTATCTCTGAATCCCCAAATGGTCAGATGCCACGGCTTAAATGATGTGACCCTGGCAGCACCAATGTTCAGTGGGAATCACGTCCAGGGCAGCCTAGGGAGTGGTGACTTTCCCTCCACGGGCTCTCCAACCAGCACCTAGAAAAACTCTGGCCAGAGACACTGCACAGGGGATACAAGTCGTCACAGGCAGATGACTTCTGCTGGCTCTTCTAGCTCCAGGCTTCCACTAATTCCTTGTGCATTTTTTTCCCAGCTCCTTGGACGACTGGGGTAAGAGATAAGCCCTTCTTAGCAGTACAGTCTTGAGGCAAGCAAAGCCCCAGGGCTGCTGGGCCTGACAGAGACATCCTGCAGGCACAGGCGTGGGGGACTCAGTGAGGAGAGTGTGCTGCTGCCCATAGAGGCTAACTAGGCTGATGTCCTACTCTGCTGGGTCTACGGGGATTAGCAATCAAGGGAGCCAGGGGGCAGGACAGATGAACGTCCCATGAAGCACTAGTGAAGCGCAGACTCTCTCTCGTGTTGACAGGCCGAGCATTTAGCTATGAGGGGAGGAGAGCAAGTTTCCTCCTATGTACCACAAATGCCCAGCTTTCTCTTTCTTTCCTTCCCCTGTGCCCTCACAGGCACATCAGAAAGCCATGGTACACGGCATTGCACAGAGCCTCCAGAGCGGTAGGTCAGATCCAGCTCTCCTTAGCAGCCAGGTGACTCGGGGTAATCATCTTCATTGTCTTTCCTGACACGTGAACAAACACAGAATCACTAGCCCAATATCTCACATTTCGAGGCTTTAAAACAACAGACAAGCTTTATAAACCATTCCTAGCCAGTGAATGATCGAAGTCAACCTAATTGCTTTTATTTAAATAAGAATCACTCTATAGTGTGAGAACATCATGCACCAGTGGAGAAGACATTGCTGGATGGCTTCATGTCATCTTGTGCACAGTAGTTCTTACATGGAGGCTTCTGGATTGGCTTAGACCATGCCTTCGCTCTGGCCTATCAATGCCTTAGTTTTAGAAGAGATACTCAGTTGAAAAAAAAAAAAAAAAGTCAGATTAGGAAGAGTAAATGGTTCCTGAGATGAGTGGAGAGGAAACCACTGGCCTGGGAGAAAAACCAAGCCCATGGCTACGGATCTATGGGGTTTCACTAAAGGTACCTCTTAATTTTCCACCCTATGGCTTTTGTTAGACAGACTGGCAGAGGAGCTCCTATCTGAGTGAGGCCCCAACAGGATGGAAAGCTGAGGAAGGAAAGACATTGAGTGACTCAACTTTTGAGAATTGTTGGCCTAACACCAGCTGCCCCCACCAGGAGGAAGGCCTGTGCTTGCTCAGCATAACTGAGACAGGAAATTGGGAAAGGGTCCCAGGGTCTGGCCCCAGGAAAGGGGCCAGGCCAAGCTCCTTGCTGGCCACGCCACAGAACTATTCTGATCAGTTCCCCCAGGCCTCACTTCCCCGGTCCAGTACTCCAGGGAGAATGAAGCAGCGGGAAGGAATGTGGTCAGGAGGTTGCAGAGCAAAGGGGACAGTATGTTTTCAGCACCTTGAGACCTTTCTGGACTCACCCTTGCTACTGCCCCCCTTCCTTCCTCTGCAAGGGTATAAAAGGTATCCAAGGATGAGCTGATGCTCCTTCCCTCCCAGGGGAACCACTCTGCTGGCAAAGACCATTGCCGGGATTGTGGCCCTCTCATAACCTGAGGACACCAGAAATGGTCCATAGGGGCCACAAGTCCTATGGGGGCTCTGAGGATCAGGCCACCCTAGGTCAGAATGTCAGTTTCGAGTGATTAAAGATGTCCCTAAAAGTAAAGACAGTCCCAAAATAGCTGGTTTCTCTTAATAGTTCGTTAAGGGATCTAGTCACTGGTGGCTTTATCTGAACCTGCCCCCAATCTCCTTGAGTTCTCAGCTTCTACTCACTGGGGAACACGTTCTCTGAAGCCAGTCCTGCTGTGGGAAGCAGGAAGGCTTTGGTTTGTCCTAACTTTACCTCTTAGGACAAACGAAACAGCCCCGATGTGGGATCCGAGGGACAGCTGTGTCCTTCCTTAAGTGGGCTGAACTTCTCAGAGTGAAGAGATCCCTTCTCAGTCTTGGTCTCCTTGGACTTACAAGCTCCCAGGAAAGTTTATTTATTACATCTTACGTGTATGAGTGTTTGCCTGCATGTATGTATGAGTACCATGTGTGTGCTTGGTGC